GACTAGGCCTGGAGACAGGACTAAGCCAGGAAACCCCAGTTCAAGGAGACTGCCAAATACAACTGTAGAAGGGGTTCTAACATGGAGCTGTGGACTGAACCAAGGGCGAAGGGCCGGCACTCTTGCTAGAGCCTCCCGTTACTCTTGAGGGCTCTGTGAACCCTGGGCTGCAAAGCTAATTAGATCTAGAGCTCCAACGCAAAAAGACCAGAGCTCAGACCCACAGGGACTCACCAACGGGCCTTGGAAATGGCAAAAAAGACGGTGAACTCAAACCCGTTTGCAGGGCGCCATGTCTGTGTTTCTCCTTGTCCCCAAGTGCTGACAGAGGTTTGCTTCGGGTCCCAGCGCTGCCACCAGATCTGCTAAAGAACAAAAGTTCAACTGCATGACTCTGAAGGTTTAACTACCTTTGTTAATCAATTTAGGAGGCAGACAGTATCCCATCGGGCAAATGGAGGGCAGCTCTGAGGAAGTGTACAAAATGGAAGGTTTTTATAGGAAGGAGGATGGGCCAAGAAAGTCATGAGCAAAAGAAAAAGAAAGCATCGCTCGAGGCAAGGTCACCTTCCCTTCGTGGTAAGGGCGGGGGCCTCATTCCGTGGTGGGGCCTCAGCTTCCTCTGCTGGGGGGTTAAGAGGGCTCGTGTGGCGGATCACATCACCGAAGCAGAAAATCCTCGGCCGACCATTTACGACAACATCTCTGGGGAAGTCTGAAACTGCACTTAGGCTACGGGTGAAGCCCCAGGTTGCTGACTTGCCCTAAATGACACCATGTTGGGCCTGTGTTTTTCTTTTTAACAGTTCACAACTGGGCTAACTGTGTGGTCAAGAGGCCTAGCTGTCGGCCGATCTTGGCGTTTGACATGCCTTCCTCTCTGAGCTTAATTATCTCTAGCTTTCGGTTGAAAAGTGAGAGAAGTGTCACTCTTCCTGTCACTGGAGCTGTCAGAGGTCCCTGAGGTTCGGCGTCGGGCTGATTGCAATACTGCTGTGTCTCAGAGAGTAGGGTGGCTGGGGGAGAAGGAGAGAGACGGGGCAGAGCTGGGTGCTGGAGCAGTCAAAACACACACAGCATTGACCGATTAAGTTTGTGGTCTTCCAGGAGCACACTTGGGGCATCCCAAAACAATGAGAATAGCAACATCAAAAATCCCTCACTACGGATCGCCCTAACAAATACAGTAATAATGAAAAATTTGAGATGTTGTGAGAACTACCAAAATATTGTGAGACCCAAAGTGAGCAAATGCTGTGAGGAAAATGGCACCTGCAGACTTGCTTGATGCAGGGTCGCCACAAACCCTCAGTTTGTAAAAAAAAAAAAAAGCAAAAACAACAAAACACAGTATCTGCGAAGTGCAATCAGACAAGGTGTGTCTGTAAGTATCCCAGGGCCTAGTTTTTCTTAAGCACTCGATGCAAAATAGCTACTTGGGAGGCATGTTCTTATGACTCTTCTACTGCAGAATCCACATTGGCTCCCCATTGCCCGACACATCAGTTTCCATTTTAAATTCCTCACTAAGGCTGCCTGTTTGTAAATCATCACAATCTAGACCTAATCTACCCCTCAAAATGCACTTCCCCCGATCCCAAACAAACACCCTTTGATTCAAGCAATTTTGTTTTTCCCTCCTTCCTAGGATTCTGGCCTCAGCGTTTTGTTTATATTATTCTCCTCATTGGGTTGTTCTGGTTGCACATTCCTACTTTTTGTAGCTCGTAGATGATAATAGATAGATACATAGATAGATGATAGATAGATTACTGATAGATAAGAGACTTTAGAGTAAAGCGATCCAATGACACCATGTACTCATGGACTCTACTATTGAGAGAGACTTGTCCACTCTGGGCCTTAGTGTTTTGATCTCTAAAATTGAGCTACTACTACTAATCTTCCAGCATTTCTGAGTGGGGGAAAGAACCTGTTTCAGTACCTAGAACACAGAAATGTCTCAACTTAGTCATCTTCGCTCTCCTCCATCACCGATCCCCAACTCTTCCCCTCTGCAGCTGCAGGCTCTGTGGGCATCCCTAATTGCTCCAGGTCATTCATAATTGACGCTCTCCTGACAGCTCACAGCACTTTTATCTAGGCTCTCATTTATTGTCATTCTGGTCCTTCTCAATGCTTACACTTTATCTCCTCAAATTATCTTCCATTTCCCAGCAGCAAGTGCGGAGACGGGTCCTCCCACTGCCCAGAGCAGGAGGCTGAGTGCCGCACACCTGAGCAGGGCCTGAAAGGAGGGGGGACCCGTCTTCTCACTCAAGCTCCACAGCTTGTGCTTGCAGAGTCTCCGAACCAGCTGCTCACCTGGGTCTTCTCATTCATTAAATGGAATCCATCCTATGGAACCTGTCTACTGTACACAGTTGCTGAGGCCATGAGATACAAAAAAAAAAAAAAAAAAAAAGAAAGCATTTTACAAAGAAGTGTATTTTGACATGACCTTCCTTCCGGGATATAGATCAGGACTGCTGATAGATGGGAAGCACTGGGGCCTGATCTGTATTCATGCCATTCCATCCTGGAAAGTAAGAATGATTGCGAGCCCTCCCTCTCCATATAGGGAAGGAAACAGAAGCTTAGAGATGGTGAGTAACTTTCCAAGATCTACAGCTAAGGAATGCAAGTTAATCCCAGGGCTGTTGGGCCTCAAAGTCTGTGACGATAGGATGCGGAAAAGGGGAGGTTTTAGGTGAAGAAAAAAAAAATTTTATATTTGGTGAGTGCTCTCACTAGGATGCATTAATCGTCATGTCTAAACGGCTCTAAAAATATAAAGAAGAACGCGTGACAGATAAACTAAGAGTGGAAGTGGCTTTCTAAATGTTCTAAATGCCCTCTGTGCATGAGCTTCCCACAAGTGCTAATATCAGAAACGGTAGTGTTGCTGAGACAGGCTACCCCAGAGACAGGCTACCCCAGGCCATTGTGACATGAGGATTGCTGAATCGTTATGTTCCATTTAAACACTGCTTACAATCCGACTGCAACACTAATTTATTTTAACATGACTGTTTCCATGTAAGGCTATTAGCTAGGTACGTATCTTAGTTGATACACTAATCATCTCTATAAATTATCTCTACTCTGTCTGCAACCCCCATCTACCTGTGGACGTCCCTGTTTCAGTCACTAATGAAAACTCTCCCTCTTACCACTTTTGACCACTTTGTGGTTGGCTTGAGTGCATCCAGAAGAAAGGGGAAGAAACTCCATTCCAATGCAGGCAATCCTTATAACCGCTGATTTTAGTGGTTAAAATTCAGTGCTGTCATGGCATAATTTACAAGAAATAGAATGCATCCCTCTTAATGGTGCACTGTGATTATTGATGAATGTGTGTTCTACTATAATGTTATCCCATTCGGGGCGCAGAATGGGATTTCCATCCCCGCCCCGCCGAAGGTGACCTCCTGCCCATGACGCTCAGTTCTCCTTGCCTCGTCCTCAGGCAGTTAGTGATGGGATTTCCAACAGGGGACGTTAGGTTTTCCTGCTCTAGAACTTTATATAACTGGACTCGTAAAGTATTCATTCTACTGTGAGCGGCCTTTGCTATGGAGTGGCTCTCGCTCGCGACCCACACCTGCATTTCCGCATCCCCAGGGCTGGATGCCACCCCAGCAGGCTTCTGCTCCGTGACCGGCTCGGGCAGAGAACCTCATGCGAAATCCTCAAGGTGTTTCAAAAATATATACATATAAAAGCGGGAAGGAAGCAGGAATGACAGGTTCCTTGCAGCAGGGAACCTATCATTTCTGCTTCCTTCCCTGCAACGTCTCTCTGTGGCAAGGAGCGCAAGGCTGTGCCCCAAAGTGTGTGGGATAAGAAGCAAAGTAAAATCAAAGTATCCCGAGAAAAAGCTCAGATTAGAATCTACACGGTGAATTTTATTCTAATTAATATAAATCTAACACTTATCCTGGAACACAGGAAGCCAAGCCGGTGACTCACACGTCAAAAGGCAAGTTTGTTTTTAATTACACAGAGTTTTAGAACAACAGTACTACAGCTGTGAATATTTAATTCACGTATTGCACACACATGCACACAGCCACACGCCCCCACCCACACACAGAGGCTCTTTTAATGACTCTGGGTCCTTATTCTCTTAAGATTATATAAGGAATGAATGGTTAGACTGCTACGTCAGATATTCTGAGTCCAGAGCCTGACTTTTAGTCTCTATGGTGTCCCTCAAAACAGAGCCCTCTGCCATGGGAGAGCAATAGAAAAGAAAACTTTTGATTCTGGTGCCAACTGTTTCCATTCCTAAAAGCAAGACAGCTTCACAGGAACGCTGCCCAGAGCTGCGGGATGGGGCACAGGACGCAGGCGCTCAGCTTCTCCAAATGCTTCAGACTGAGTGTCTGTGTCTCCCCAAGAATCCATGTGCCTAAAACCTGATGCCCGAGGTGATGTTAGTAGGAGCTGAGGTCTTTGGAAGCTGATCAGGTCATGAAGGCAGAGCCCTTAAAAGAGAGGCTCCAGACAACACTTCGCCTGTTTCCGCGAGGTGGGGGGACCGGCTGGGTGAGCAGTCAGCAGCCTGTGACCCCGAGTGCGAGTGCCACCGCATTGCACAGCCCGGCCTGCCGTGCTGGCCCCTGAGTGTGCACTCCCAACCTCCAGAGCCCTGAGAAATCAATCCCTCTCCTTCCGAAGCATCCGTCTATGGTATTTCGGGCTCACTGCCTGGATGGACTAAGATGCCAAAGTAGGAGCGACTTTTCCAGATCACACTTACTAATTCCTAACCAATGGGAGAGTCAGTGCTGTGTGAGTCAAACCCTGTGTGCACTTTCCCACTTTCCACTTTTTCTCCGAGCCCCCCTCCCTTCCTTCTCTGATCTCATCCAAGTGCCAGGGAAAGAAATTTCCCAAAGATATACTCGTCGATGCAGGCTGGGTTTCGGGGAACTGACTTATTTTTCGTGGGGGCGGGGAGGGTGGAAAACACAACAGGATGATTGTGCATGAGCAGTGGGTATTTCTCAATAAGCACACACACCCTGCTGAAAGGGAAGGTGGATATGCTTTCAGTTTCACACTGTCCTTCGAAGCTGAGAGAGAAAAGCCATGGCTGGTGAGTCTCCGACCATCTGAAAGGGCATGACTGGGGGAAACACAGTCCTGGCTGGTCTACAGTTCTGTGACTGTGCGGGTGGGCACAACGGGGGGTGGGGGCCACCAGGCAGCAGGTGGGAAGGCAAAAGGAGGGCCCGGGAGACTCCTCAAAGCCTGAAGAAAGGCAAGGCCAGGGCCAGGAGGGAACTGGGGCTTCACTGGCATCCTGGGGACGCTCTGCGGTCCTAGCTGAATGTTAAAGGCCTGAGTGTGACAGCCGAAGTGGCTGGGGAAAGGACACGGGACATCACTCTTCATTATTTTCTTATGCGGAGTTGAGTACATGTGGGGGATGTGGGGAAGATCCCAGGTTTTCAGATGCAAATGGCGGGAGAGCACCTCTGTCCTCAGGCTGCTCAGTGAGTGCCCAGGGTCAATGCTGAAGGGACACTGAGAGACCGTGGGGGTCTTCAGGGGTCCTGCGCTGCGTGGGGAGGGATGTCAGGTCTAAAGCAGGCTACTCCTTGGTGCTGACCTGAGAGGAAATGAGACTGTTTTCGTGACTTGAGGAATCCTTGTGCTTCACTCAGACAAGACCCTGAAGGACAGGCGGAAGCTGTTTGTCAGCTCAGTGAACACAGGGACCCTCAGCGGCTTGCTGGATGAGCTCCTAGAGAAAAGAGTGCTGAACCAGGAGGAGACGGAGAGAGTGCAGTATGAAAATGCTACAGTGACGGATAAGGCCCGAGCTCTGATCGACTCCGTCGTTCGGAAGGGGTCACAGGCGTGCAATATTTTTATCTGTTATATTCGCGAAGAGGACTCCTTCCTTGCAGAGAAGATGGGCCTTTCCTCAGGTAAGGGTCAATTCCTCACACCGAGGTGCATGGCGGGCCCGTGTCCTTGTGCCCGGCGTTTGCTTTCTTCCTTGGTCGGGTTGGTTTGCAGACAGCCTCCCAGTTCCTGGCCTCAGGAATCTGAGCTGTTGGATCAGTAGCTCTACCGCAAGTCTCCTGCTTCTTCCCTTTTGTTCCTGGTCCTCTGACCTCAGGAGCCTTCCTCTGATTGACACTCCCTTCCCATCCAAAATATGCCATACCTGCGTTGTGGAACTTCATGAGGACAGTCTGAAAAGCTTCATACTGTATTCTCTAGTCATCCTGGCAAAGCACTGACTCAGTCTCTCTCTCTCTCTCTCAGTCTCTCTCTCTCTCCTTAAAGTCCAGGGCTCCCTGGGAACTTATGTAGTCATCTGACATAAAGACTCAGACACTTTTTACAACATCTCTCCAAAATCTGACTCTCCAGGAGGAACAAAATATATTTCAGGGATGGTGGAACACTCAGAATAAATTCACTGCTTATAGAAAAGTAAGGATTTTAAGTGGACTCTTCCTTCTAGGTACCTCCTCGCATTTTCTTTTGAGTAAGAGTGTCCACTAGTGTGGTTCTGGGCTGTGGACCACTCTATGAGGCCCAGCCCCCCTGTACCTCTGGTTCTTCTAAGAGCCCAAGACCAGGTGCAGACATCTGGACAGCTCCTTCTATGGTCACTTAGTCCTGCCACACAGTGAAGACAGGAGCGCCAGTGGAGTCCAGCCCTGGTCTCTTAGGCACTTGCCAAAGCCATTTAGAAAAAGAAGATGTTCTTTGAAAATGAGAAGCTTTTTTTTCCTGGGGATTGGCCTGGAGGCACTTGTCCAACCCACTGTGACATACTAGCCTGGAGTCTGCCGCTCCAGTTGTCACGTGTCCCTCCCTGGTCAGGGTCCTCGTGGCTTCGTCTCCCTCTCATCCATCGGCCAATTTCTGTAGGTCCATAGACTATGACAATGAGATATAATATTTGGATGCACTTTAATGGGAGAGATCTTCCTAAAAGAAAGTTCTTGGTCATAAGAAGAGCTACTTCCTATTGCCATCAAAAGGCCTCCTCCAGAGAATGTTCTTTTTTTTTTTTTTTAAAGATTTTATTTATTTATTTGACAGAGAGAGAGACACAGCAAGAGAGAGAACACAAGCAGGGGGAGCGGGAGAGGGAGAAGCAGGCTTCCCGCGGAGCAGGGAGCCCGATGGAGGGCTCGATCCCAGGACCCTGGGATCATGACCTGAGCCGAAGGCAGACGCTTAACGACTGAGCCACCCAGGCGCCCCCAGAGAATGTTCTTGAATTCACTGATGGTTAATGCATTCCAGCAGTCTAGATGGGAAGGATGGGACAAACTGTAGTGTGCCGCCTTGGGCTTGATGCTGTGACTCCCCTCCATTCAGGGAAATGGACCATATTTTGTCTATGGAAATCGTGTCTTCAATAAGTACTATAAAATGAAGATTGGGGAGCATTTCTCATTTGTTAGCTTATGCCAATTCTGAAAGTTTCTGGAATAAGCTTCTTAGGTGGGTGTTGTCATACTGAGATCCTCATAAAACCTTCAACAAATTTAAATTCTTGTCCTTAAAATCAACAATAATAAAAGTGACCCAAGAGGATCTATTAATAGGTTTGAGTGATTTTATGCAACCAAACAGTGTAACTGCGGCTTCCCACTGTTTTCCTCCTGTGAGTATGGCTTCTGCCACCTAGTAGGACGGATGCAGATTATGGAGGTGATGGTCAGGGATCCTGGCACATGCGTCCTCAGACGGTGGCCTTTGTGGGCTGGAGGAGTAGCATACTTAGGAGCCCACAGATGATAAGGATGACAGTTTGCATGTGTATCCTGGCTTGACCACCTTCCTGTTCAATGACACTTGGGAAACTGACTTAACACTGAGGGTTGGCCAGGGGGTCATCTCATCCTCATTTTCTGCTGTGGTAAATCTTATCACAGCTAAGTGTCCATGTGCACATGCCTGTTCTTTTTCGTTTTCTCTCCGAAGTCCAGGCCAGCTCTGAGTTAGACACGCAACATGGCACGCACCTGTCAGGCAGCAGTGGTCACCCCAGGAGCCACCTTGAAACAGGAGAATTAAGAGACCTCTTGATTCTACATCAGTTTCTGTCTCAATTCCCCTTCATCTTAGAAAGCAGAAATGGAGAGTAACTTGCAGACACTCCTTTGTTCTGCCTCCAGGGGGAACGTTCAGTCAGCCAGGCTAGAGGCTTTGGCTTCTCAGTGATGGCTGTGGTTCTAAGTTAGCTGCACCTTGAACAGGCCCACAGAACGTGTGTTCACTAGGGAGTGTCCAACAGGTCCGGCGAGATTAGTTAGAGACGATAAGTGACTATTTTAATGTCCTGGATCTTTCCTCAGGTGCACCATCTGAAAGTCAACATAACTCAGACTCTCAAGCAGCAATTCTTCCTTCAACAGGTAATGGCATTTTCCAAGCAAGAACATTTTTTGAACCTCATCTTTTTTGACATTAAGTCTGTGTTCACAGGATGACCCCAGAGTGAGAGGGCGACAGATTACTCTCATGGATTGGTCCTATGCCTTTCTCTTTTCTTAATCTCTGCGCTTTAGCAGAGGCCATCCCTGTAGCTTTACCACCATGTTCACACTCACAAATCTAAATCTGTGTCCCAAACCTGATTACCCACTTGAACACCACACTTGACCATTCTAGTGCCTACTGAACATATGCGCTCATGTTTCCCTCAGGGAGCTGAGCTTGTCATCCTTCCCTTACCTTGCTTCTCCTCGTTTCCCTGTCCTGGTTAATGGCACCACTATCACCCAGTTATTCAAACCAGAAACCTGAATTATCTTGGGTTTTCTTTTCCCTCACTTCCAACATTCAAGCAGTGGCCAAGCTTACTGATCCCTCTCTCAAACCCAGACCCTGCTCTCCACGTCTATTTCTGCTAGTCTATTTCAGAGTCCTGATTCCTATAGTGGCCCATGGTTCTTCAGCTATAACTCCTACTATATCTTTCTTGTCATTAAAGAATTAAGTCTTCCTTTTCCCCTGTTGGACTTTAAACTTTATGAGGAAATTAGACACACCTGACTTATTTGTAGGTAAGATCCCATCACAGTAGTTGATTCAGTGTGCATGCAATAAATGCTTAAAAGACTATTTCACTGAATAATTTTGTCAAAGTTGCTAGTATACTAGGCCATAAGAAAAATATTTGACACATGCCAACTGTGTTATAGATCTTGCTCTATGGACTGTTTAGAGAGGAATGAACAAGACAAACAAGGTTCCTGCTTTTACTGATCTTATAAAAATATACGAAATATGAAGGAATAGGTATTTAAGAATTTCCACCATTAAATTAAAGCTAGACAAAAATTTTGGGATGGAAATGACACTACACACAACCCTTTCAGCGAAGATGATCCCAGACAGTAGTAAATTACCCTGGTGTCAAGTTAATCTACTATACGGAAAGATTAGTCATCAGATGATTTTCAATTAAGAATTCTTATTGAGATAAGTTCTTAAAATATTAGGGCTCTAGAGTCATTCATTCATTCATTTCTTCATTAATTTATGCATTCAGCAAGCATACAAGTGTTTATAAGTATTTTAAGCACAAAGATGTGGGCATGAGATGTGGGTACAAAGATATGGATTCGAAGGCAGCGTGCTTTTACCAAGGAAATTCAATACAGAAGAAAGAAAAGATCCCACAGCCTAGTGGAAAAAATTTACAGTTCTAGGCAACAACATGGCCTTTCCTTGGAGCACATATTACAAATGGATTATCATCATCACTGTGAGAAAGAGAAATATGAAAGTAGTAGGTGGCCAGGAAGTTAGCATTAGGCCCAGTGTCACAGAAGAAAGATGAGAAGCTCCCTCCAAAGATCTTCAGTGGGGATGAATCACTAAACACAGCCCAGTGTGAATCTGATGGGCTCAGAGAACTCGGTGGATACAGTGAGAGAGGACATACCTTACGGGGCAAGTGGGGACATAATCAGAAGGCATTTTCAGGGGTATTGCCCATAACGGGGAACTTTCTAGAGACGGGGCAAAACTCTTTAAGTTGTGCCTATAGTTGAAGGAGTGTTTGTATTTCTGACAGAAGACACACACGACAAACACCCATTTAAGATTTTGGAAACTGTGGGCAAAGACCTCATTACTGGTGCTTTGCATGGCTTGTTGGAAAAAGATGTTCTGAAATTGGAGGAAGCAGAAAAGAAAAAAATTTATGATGCCAAACCTGAAGACAAGCCCTGGGTCCTTCTGGACTCTGCGCGACGGAAACGGCAGAAGGCAGGTCAAGCCCTGGTCCAAACTTTCATTAATACGGACAAATATTCCACCAGTGTAAAAGGCAAACTGAAATCACTTAACAATGGGTGTCTCAAATTTTCCAGAACCTACTTAACACCAAAGGTCCTCCAGGGGCCTCCATAATCCCACCACCTTCCATTACTAATGTATAATTTTTACTAAATCTGTCATCATCCTCTGAGAGGCCATCTTGCCTTTTGTGGGAGGGGATCCACTTTCCAATTAGCTAAGAAGCCGAGTCGCTGTGCTTCCACTGCTCACAGAAAGAGCTGAGTGTGGACGTGGTGTAGTAAAGGACACCTGCGCGTGGACCCAGGTTCCGTCACCGTAGATACTCCATGATTTCGTTCCAGCTCCTTATCCTCCCTGGGCATCAGTCTTAGGATCTGGGAAATGGTGACAATTTTGGTAACTTCTTCACAGGCTAGGGACATCATGGCAGGCACAGGCTGACAACTCCGAAGAGAGTCGCTCTCATCCAGAATTCTCTGAATTCCAGATACACTTACCCCTAGCTGCACATTCAACATTTCCATCCAAAGACTCCACTGACCTCACAAAACTAACATCTATAGGGCGCCTGGGTGGCTCAGTTGGTTAAGCGACTGCCTTCGGCTCAGGTCATGATCCTGGAGTCCCGGGATCGAGTCCCGCATCGGGCTCCCTGCTCAGCAGAGAGTCTGCTTCTCCCTTTGACCCTCCCCCATCTCATGCTTTCGCTCTCTCTCTCATTCTCTCTCTCAAATAAATAAATAAATAAAATCTTAAAAAAAAAACAAAACAAAACTAACATCTATAGAGTTAAACACTCGATTCCCCTCATCAGATCTGTTCTGAATTAGATAGGACTATGATCCACCAAGTTTCTTCATCCAGAGCACAGGTGTTTTCTTCATGAGGGAATAGTAGCTCTCTGCAGAGTGCCAGCCACACGGCAGGCATGTAATAAACACGGGATGAATATAACAGATAAAGAACAGGCATGCGGTAGATACTAGTTCTCATACATATGACGTCGCTTCTAGTATTTAGACCTTTCTAGTGCTTACTCATTTCTGTACATTACAAAATATGATCAGGAGAACACCTGTAAAGTGTTCAGTCTATTAAAACACTTTAATTCTGACCTAGATTGAATTATAAGTATTACTAGAACCTAAATAGCCTCTTACCCAAGTTCACCAGTGACAGACTTGATTCACTACAGAGGTTAAGCTCAAATCCCAGCCCTGAAATCTCAGAGTTGATCAATAATAATAATAATAATAATAATAATAAGCAATAATAAACAAAAGGCAATGGAAACTGTAGAGACTTCACTATAGCAAATATGCTTTTCAACAAGTCCAGGTGAGGCTCCCTGGGTGCTCTCTGCACGTGGGGGCCCCAGAGGAATCCCAGGGCACCCGCAGGCCAGGAAGCTGGGTGAGCTGGGCTACTGGCATATGGAAAGGCCTTGGCCAGGCCTTCTGGACACGGATACCATTCTGATATACTTCATTTAACAAACTCATATATGTGCATACTATGTAACGAGCACTGTTAGTATTGGGAATAACTACTCGGATGCCTACCTGCCAAGGAAGATGGCTCTGTCTTACCTTGGACCAGTCTCTTCCTTTTTGTATCAGTTTAAGGGGTTTCTTAAGCATTTCATTAAGTAACAGATAAGACAAACGTTAAAATTTTCATTTAAACTCCGAATTCTCTCATTTCTTTCTGTGTGCTGCCAGGCGAATGGAACCCCCTTTGGGCAGCAGGCAGCACTACAGTATTTATTATGTTATAATGAAAAGATTCATTTTCATGCTAACTTTACTATTAAATGTGAGATAGAAATCCTATCTAATTCTCAATTTTATCTGCAAACACGGTATCTGTACACAGATACAAGACGGTCATTAGGAGCTGATGTTTGTTAATTAGGATGTTCACCAAACCTGGACACAACCTGGAAACAGAGGAGAATTTTGCTGCGAAAATGTACCCTCTGACCAGAGACTAGCCCAGGAGCCTGGATGTCCTCATGTTGGTGGAATCTTCTGGAATACAAAGGGAGAGCAAGTGTCTCTGTTTAAGAAATGTTCAGAAAGCCTGGTTTCTTTAAAGACTTATAATTGGCTGCATTGCCAGAAGTCAGGTTTTTAGCATTCAGTTTAGAAAGACATTTATTACAAAAATGTTATTTAGAAACTAATGGAAACAAATGAGTAAAACAGGAAAAAAACTACAAAATATAAAAACTGAAAATTTTGTACAGGATAACATTGCTTTTGTCATTTAAATAAAAGAAAATCAGAGGAATTCTTGGTTGGCTTGTGTTACTGAACACAAAGGTTTATTCCTTTCATGGACAAAATCCTTGTTACATTAGGTCTTGACAAACTGCTAAATTGTGTTTATCGATTCCTCTTCCTCATTTCTCCAAGGGTGGGCTCAGGACTTTCCAAGCTTTTTGCACAATCTCAGTTAAGTGAGGCCAAACGGGGTCGGAGAGTCCTACATTTCTCTAGAGATTGGGTCAGGATGAGTCAGAGACAAACTTTCCCAAGTGGGAGGAGGTATTTTCTCACATTTGAAAACATGGATTGAAAACTTCATGCTAGTTAGTTCGCCCTTTGGGGGCAAGGACATCCAGAGCGCATTCGGATCCCTAACAGACAACCATCTGGTCAACCCTGGACACAGGGCCGGTTACTAGATAGGTTTCTCCTTTAAGTCGCTGACTACATCTCAGTGAGGAGCCACCACAATCTGCCTCCTCCACAAAGGTCAAGCATCCGTGCACAGTTGAAGATTCCATTACCTGTGTGCGTGGGTGTCTCTACATGTTGCATGAGGTGGGAGTGGACTCAGGATTGTACACCCTCTGGCAGGATAGCTACCAGCCACACCCGGCTACTCAGGGCTGGAGTCCTGACCAGTAACACAAATTGAGAGGATGCGATTTTGCATATATCATGTTAAAATATACTACTCATATTAATTAATTTCATCTGTTTCTTTTTAGTTTCTGGTGGCTCAGATGGTTGAGCGTCTGCCTTCGGCTCGGGTCATGGTCCCGGAGTTCTGGGATGGAGCCCCGCATCGGGCTCCCTGCTCGGCGGGGAGCCTGCTTCTCCCTCTCCCTCTACTGTTCACCCTGCTTGTGCTCTCTCGCTCTGTCAAATAAATAAATAAAATCTTTAAAAAAAAAGACATTACAAAATTTTGAATTGCACATGTGGCTCAATTTCATTTTTCTTTTTTTTTTAAAGATTTTATTTATTTATTTGACACAGAGAGAGACACAGCGAGAGAGGGAACACAAGCAGGAGGAGTGGGAGAGGGAGAAGCAGGCTTCCCACTGAGCAGGGAGCCTGATACGGGGCTCAATCCCAGGACCCTGGGATCATGACCTGAGCCGAAGGCAGATGCTTAATGACTGAGCCACCCAGGCGCTCCTCAATTTCATTTCTAAGGGACAGCACTCCAATAAATCTTAACTCAGGATGTTCTTGCTCAGAGACAACAGAAGGTCCACATGGACGAGTGAGGGCCCTAGAGTAAAACCATTGGAAAAGTCAAACTGTTTTTGCTGAATATGGCAAAGCTAAATTTGACCCCAAATCATCAAGGTGTTTTTGTCAGAATTATCAGAAACCTACACTTGCATTTTCGGGTGGATCTGCTTCCTCTACTAACAATCTTCCTGTTCTTTCCTATTCAAAATACATCTCCTCACACTAGAGGTTAGACACAATCAACCCCTACACGTTGAAAGATCTTTTTGCCATGATTTCCCTTCTCTGTCAGTATTCTTAAGGGAAAATTGGGTCACAAAGGGAGATATCCTAATTTATGATCCATGATGTATCCTGTAGGTCCCGAGGACGTGTCTGGGCAACCTGAGCCAGAAGAATCTACAGATACTCTCAAGCTTTGTCCTCATGAAGAATTCATGAAACTGTATAAAGAGAAGGCTGCAGAGGTGCTATGCTCGGTCCACGACATCGAGAATAAGAGATGGTGTCACTAATGACACCATTTCCTAAAATGCTGATTGCAGAGTTAGGGAGTGGGGACAGTGGTAATCTTATCCATAGATACTCTGAGCAAGGAGAAAATCATGTGGCCTCCCACAGACTCCAGTTGTCTTTCAACCCCATGGTAGAATACAGATCTCTCATCTTGTTCATTTATTTGTTCTCGAATCTATTTGTTATTTATGACAATTTTAGCTGTAGTTACAGAAGCAAAATATTTATAAGAGAACATGGCTGAGTAACAGTTGTTTGCATTCTAGTTGAAAAGCCTAGACAAAAAGCATATTTAAAAAAATATAATTAAAGTCTGCATAGCATTTTATGTTGATGCGTTAAAAAAAAAAAGTACCAAAATAACAATATTACCAAAGAAAAAGGACCCCTGATGTATTCATTTTTAGCTGGAGCCGGTGCCAAGTGTCTCCTGGCTTCTACAAAACTGGATCTGAATCTTTTTTTTTTAAGATTTTATTTATTTATTTGAGAGAGTGAGAATGAGAGAGAGCACATGAGAGGGGGGAGGGTCAGAGGGAGAAGCAGGCTCCCTGCTGAACAGGGAGCCCGATGCGGGACTCGATCCCGGGACTCCAGGATCATGACCTGAGCCAAAGGCAGTCACTTAACCAACTGAGCCACCCAGGCGCCCAAAACTGGATCTGAATCTTGAATGCTAAGAAGGACGACTAGGTGGAGAAGAGAGAGGAAGAGAGGGTAGGGAGTAGCCTAGTCTCCTGAAGATTCTTGAGTCACCATCCCAGCTATATACTGGGTCCTGTTGTGGGTTCTTAAAAGACAACCTACTTCCAGTTTGCACTTCTTGCTACTGCCAACTCAATCCATTACAGAGAGATAGGAGGGCAGTGTCTTCTGGTACAGGACGGGGGACAGGGCAGCTAAAGGAGCCCTGAGCACAGTAACAGTGACTGGTGGTTGAGAGTGTCAAAGGAGATTAAGTAAGTCAAGCTCACTGTATATCCATTTCCTGCAGATCTACCCAATAAAGGAGAGAAAGGATCGTACTCGTCTCGCTCTCATCATATGCAATATAGAGTTCGATCATCTTCCTCCCAGGGATGGGGCCGAACTTGACATTGCAGGGATGAGGAGTCTACTGGAGGGTCTTGGCTACAGTGTGGATGTGAAAAAGAAACTCACTGCTAAGGTAGGGGTCCCTCACCCACCCCAAACATGTATATATTCAACATGCATCCTACTACGAAGATGTTAGCTTTAGCATATTAGGCAAATACTTTGACATCCTTAGGCCATATTTGTGTGTGTGTTTAAAACATGAAAGTAAGAAACAGGGAAAATCTATGTCTTTTTTGAGCTCTAAATATCCTCAGTTCCATAACTGGACAAAGTGATTGGCATGTGTATCCAGACAATCCTTAGTTCCAAAGTGGGGTGATAAGGACTCAGCCCCAACAGTCCCCAGAAAATCCTAGAGTGATGTATATTTCACAGACGTGTACTCACCATGTACGTATTGAGTCCCAACTGTGTACCAGGGGCACTTCCTGGCATTGGGCACAGGTCTGTGAATGAGACAGGAAGCTCCCAGCTGCAGTGCTCTGGGCTCGCTTGGTGCGGGATAATCGTACCATAAGCAAAACAGAAAACTTCACAGTTTTGGTGCGTCTCTGTAAGAGTGAAAAGAAAGTTAAAAGTAAGTGAAAAGAAGAAAGCAAAAGGAAGCAGGAGAGCAAACTGGTGAGTGGGGATCCCAGCAAACATGATGTTAGGTGGGATCTTTGGGGAATTACTACAGGAGCGGACACATGAGTATGGGGAACCACACAGCTCTGGACAGCTGTGGATGAACTGCATTCGGAACTGAAAGGAAGTCACACAGTAGCCGCACAGAAAGACCGGAGTGGCTGGAGCCCGGGGGAGACGAGGCAGGGTGAGAGAGGAGTATTTGTACATCAGAGGTTTGATTTTATTCTAAGCACAGTGGGAAGGGTTTTACGGGATCTGGTAGGATGCATTTATGACCCAAGGCTCTTATCAAGTAATGAGAGGAAAGAGAGGCAGAAAGGAAAAAGTACCTAAGTGACAAAAAGTGACTGTCAAATATATCAAGAGGAGTTTATACAATCTCATCAGGAGTGGAAAGTTCTACCCACTGCTCCATTATAGAAAGAAACATCAGACAGCCATCCTCGAGCAAGCCGTGCGTGAAGGCATAGTGAGTGGAACATTCTGGATGTTTCTTACTCTGCTGCTCAGGATAAGCAGGAGGTGAGAACAACTGAAATGCTTCTCCTATCAAAGTGAGCCCTGGAGGTCTTTTTCAGGATATGGAGTCAGCGCTGCGGGCATTTGCCGCCCGCCCAGAGCACAAGTGCTCAGACAGCACGTTCCTGGTGCTCATGTCTCACGGAATCCTGAGTGGAATCTGCGGGACTACGTTCAGCTTGGAAAACCCGGATGTGCTACCTTATGACACCATCTTCCAGATCTTCAACAACCGTAACTGCCTCAACCTCAGGGACAAACCCAAGGTCATCATCATCCAGGCCTGCAGAGGTGGTGAGTTCTGAGATGGAAACCCCAAAGGTCATGAAGGTGTCTGGGGAGAACTATGATGTGTGCTTTGTTTCTAGAGGAGATGATCTTTGACACCATTCAGGGCAAATAAACTAGACTAAATTAGTAGGAAACTCCCCTGAGGGGGCTGGTATCATGAGCATTTGTCCCATTGGCTGACAAATTTCTGTTCAACTTAATCCAGGGGAAGTGGTGAAGAAGACCACCAGAATTACTAAATCAAAGTTAAACATAAATATCCAAATCCTGGGACAAAATGATTTTAATGAGGGCTTTCCTTGTTAATGTTTTACAGTCATTTTGACAATCTCTGGCTTGAGAAAAATTTCCTTTGAAAGTGAGCATATTATGTAATAGCAGCATTCTTTTTTTAAATTTTTTTATTGTTATGTTAGCATCCTTTTTTTTTAAATCAGGCATATTGAAAAGGAAGTGAGTAGGAAGGTGAGGGAACTTGGGATGGCAGTCAAAAGAAACTTCCTTTTCCCTCACTTCCCACTGTCCTTTAGCTTTGTGGAGCAATGTTTGGGAGGAAAAGGAAACAAACATAATTTACCTAAAAAAATGTAACTATGCTCTCTGAAATTAGGCAACTAAGGCTTTAACTTCTATTCTCTTAGCAAATGGTTTCTTCTAGTTTTGTGATGCTGTCAGCATTAATTGGCACATTGCTGAAGAACCCTAGAGAAAGGCAGAGCCGTGTGTGTGTGTGTGTGTGTGTGTGTGTGTGTGCGTGCGTGCATGTGTCTAACTGGTTGGAATAACTACTTAAAAACAAAGAGGTGGGCAATTGCTCTAGTCATCCTGAGAGGCACACAGTGTGTAGAAAGTTGATATCTCCACAGAAAGTCTTGGGGAAGTGTGGGTCAGTGACTCAGCAGTGACCTCGACCAACAGCTTCTCACATCGACCTCTGCTCCTGGAGAGTGATGCCGTCCACAAGGTCCACATTGAGAAGGACTTCGTTGCTTTCTGCTCCTCGACCCCACGTATGTGTCTTTCCAGTGCACACAGGGATTTGTGGGCCTGAGGCCACCTCTGAATGATTCTAGAAAATCAACATAGGCTCCGTGCAGCAATAAGCCAAAGCAAATTTTAAGTCTTGTCGATATATTTTAAATCTTGTCTCATCTGTTCTATGGGGATGAAGACTCTGTTTTTCCCCTTGCTTTCTAAGATTGTGCTTTTATTATAAGTGTTGTGTTTTATATCAAAGGTACATCAGACATTAAAACAACCTAATGCAAGGAACCCCCTTTATCATATACCATTTTAAAACAAATGATTGATTCGTTTTTCTACTAAATCCATTCAACATTTTGAGAAGAGTTTTTATGGATCCTGGGACTGGCTGCCCTTTCTCAGATGGTCAAGTATACGCCTTTTTCTCCGTACTCCCCATCTGGTGCTGTCTGGATGGTGCTATCACATGCCCCAGCACAATGGGGATACCCCTTTAAAAGGAGTAGAAAATGATACCTTGGATCTTACTTGACCTACTAACAGTAGAGCAGTGTTTAGTTCTTGACCTCTACGTAATCATCTGAAGAAGCCTTATATTTGGGTGTTTCTAATTTGCAAATTTTTCTTTTCAGTCTTTTTATTTTTTTATTATTTAATTTTTTTAAAGATTTTATTTATTTATTTGACAAAGAGAGAGAGACAGCGAGAGAGGGAACACAAGCAGGGGGAGTGGGAGAGGGAGAAGCAGGCTTCCCGCTGAGCAGGGAGCCCAATGCAGGGCTCGATCCCAGGACCCCGGGATCATGACCTGAGCCGAAGGCAGACTCTTAACGACGGAGCCACCCAGGCGCCCCTCTTTTCAGTCTTTTTAAACCACTTTATAGAAATATGATTGACATATGCTAGGACTTAATGAGTTTGGAGATAAGTATTATCTGTGAAACTATCACCAAAATCCATGCCATAAACATATCCATCCCCTCCAAAAGTTTCCTTTGGGTCTGTTCACCTATTTTGTTTATTATATTGTGAAAGACAGCACAGTATATAATCTATAAATGGCCACCTGTGTAAATGTGGCAACATTCTTGAATCCTTCTATTCTTTCCTCTGTAAAATGAGATAATTCCAGTTATCTCTCAAGCCTCTTTTGAGAGCCAAGTGCGTGACCATAGGGCACACAGTTAAAAGTCAGTCAATCCTAAGAATGCAATGCAGCCACTGTGCCATCCTGTGGTTCTGATGAGTTGCCCTGTTAGTTCAGTCTCTGCTAGTTTTTCGTTTGTTTGCTTCTTATCTGTGGAAAATGAGTTAATGTTGGGTTATAGCTGCTTCTTCTAAACACATCAAGATAACTACCAAGCTATGCTTTAGAAAAAACCTGTAAACAAAATAAGAGTGAAGACCACAGACCAAGGCTTACCTCTTTCTGTCTTCATAGATAACGTATCCTGGAGACACGTCACAAAGGGATCTCTCTTCATTGTACAACTCATCACATGCTTCCAAAAATATTCTTGGTGCTGTCACCTCATAGAAGTATTTCAGAAGGTAAGCTTGTCAATCCTCTTCTAGTCATTTGTTTGTGCAGGAAGGCTTTGCTAGGTGACAGTGGCAGAACTGGTCAGCCAAACACAATGTGGAATGGGACCTGGTTCCCGTCATCTAGGTGTTTAAAACCTGATTTAGGAAATAAAAAAAATGCACTATAGCAGGAGATCAAAATATAAAAAATAATATAAAATATAAGCTTGTGTGTCATGGGGTGTAAGTTCTTAAATTTCAGAGTGGGAGGTATTTGCATTAACTTTCATTGTTTACTTTATTAAATAAATATGGAATGGGTGGCATACTTGGGGGCCTTTCCTGGCGACAAAGGGGCAAATGAGACACATGCATGTGAGACACATGGTCACTGAACAAGTAGGTCAACAAACAAATGTGTGGTTACAGATTGTGATGGGATCTGTAAAGAAAAAGACTGAGGACATGTGAAAGAGAAGACAGGAGAAGACTGTGAATGGAGTGGTCAAGAAGGGAAGACCTGATGCTGCTTCCCCAGCTCTGGACACTCCTTAGTCGCCCCTCCTTCCCCCCTTCATGCATTCAGTATATGTATTTATAGGTTCATTTTTTTACCTGTATTTACTCACTCAAATATGAATTTACGAAGGCAGGGATTTGCTAAACACCTCAACATTCAGGCACATAGAAATTAATATTCGTTAATGAATAAATGTATGAATAAATAAATAGATGCTCCCTCCTTTTATAGGGAGCAAGGGATTGGTATTAAGAACATGGAAAGTGTGGTTGTATTTTCATTCAAAAACACAGAGAACAGTTGTACTCTTCCAGAAGAAGGCTGTACCAATAGTAAATTGGAGAAGACAGCAACATGACATGAGTTGGGGTCTCTGAATAGGAACTTAGCAAGTTAAGTCCTTTGGATGAGTAGGATTTAGACCTTGCACTTGGAAGGGCATTTCCAGGAAAAGACCAGAAATAATCGATCTAGATTAAGTAGGATCTCATTGACCAGCCTGTGGCAAAAGACTTCAGGTCAGCTTGGTGACGGGGATGTGAAAGTTGCTCAGTGTTCTGGACTTAAGAACAAAATCCTGGGATTCAAGTCTCATTGAATTGAGGAGTTAACCCTGGTGGACGTAGAAAGTAGAGAATTCTCAAGATCCAGTTCCCATGAACAGACCCCAAGGGAAAACTGATTATCAGATCAGAAACAGAAAACAGGAAATGGAGTTTGAAAGGGCTTGGATTAGGTACCAAGTGTTTGAGATAGAGTGTATTCTGACATAGGGTGTCATTTTTAACAGGTGGGGCAGCAGTGGCAAAGAGTTTGAGTGTCCATGGGGTTGGCCCCATCAATCCTAGGAGCACCCTGCATTCCCAGAATTTTCTGGCTCATTCTTTGAAAGATCTTTTCTGAGAATTCACAAGAGGCATAGCTCATCTTACCCCTCTTTTTGTTTTTAGGTTCAACAATCATTTGAAAAACCAAATGTTAAAGCCCAGATGCCTACCATTGAACGAATGTCCATGACAAGACCTTTCTATCTCTTCCCTGGCAATTGAAGATGGTAAGTGTCAAGAGTTGTTTGCAAGTGAAGTAAATGGGAGAGTAATATTGGTGGTGAGGTCCACTGACCAAGTGGCAGCTGACAGTGTAGATGGTCACATTAGTGTTTCTTGTTGATGTAGTTTGGTGGTTAGTTGCTGTTTTTTTACTCCACTTATGTGCATCTGGATCTTACCTCCACCTCCACAATCAATCCATCTGTGAGTTGAGCAAAACCAAGTTAGGAAGCAATGAACTATGCAGGACACAGGGTAGTAATTATTAAAATAGAAATTTCCTCATGTTTCCATTATGACTTTCATTCATCTCTCTCATTCCCTCCCTTGCCCACCCCTCCCACATGCCGAGTTACCACACACTGCCTCAGATCCTGAGAACACAGGAAACAGAGGAGCAAGGAGAAATTAGGACTTTGGTCCTCTGAGTGCATATGCATTGCATCGCTACTCCGAGCTACCATCGCCAGACAGTATAAAAGCTGCCCTGTGTAGAGGCGGAGGTTCTGCACCACTCTCCCCGAGTGGATCTCACACTCAGAGAGTGCTCTCACACCTGCACATGCTGCTCACAAGCCCCTTTGAGCACTCACCTTCACATGTAATAGTATTACTGTTATTATTATTTTTGGTCAAAATATTTTAGGATGGGTACATCAAGGTTAGACCCAAAACTATTTTACTCACTCACAGCAGCTTTTTATCACTCTGTATTATAGGCAATTATGAGTCTACCTCTCAGAAACATAATTTAAATTCTATTTATCGTGAGGTTTATCTCAGTAGTTTCAATATGTGCTCATGCCATCTCCTACCCCTGGTTTCTGACACAGTCACTGCACGGTTGCCCAGATATTTCAGTATAACAGCTTTTGAGGCCTAATTAGTCCAATAGAACCACATTTGGGGACTGAATTATTTATGGGACTAGTATTTATCAAGCACGTACTATGTTCCAGGTTCTGATCCAGATGCTTGCAATACACCAGGCAAGAAAATAAGTGGAGTCCTTGCTCTGAGAAAGCCATGCTCGAGTGAAGGGAGACAGACTCTAACTACACAAGGAAATAGAGCCTGTGTCAGAGAGGGAGAAGAGCTAAGGGAAATAAAGGAGGCTAAAGAGACACAGAGGGTGGATGCTGTCTCGCTACAGATAGATTATTCAGGCGAAGTTTCCTTCTAGTGATAAAACGGTAAAGTCAGAACAAGGGATGGACAGACTGGGGGATGGTGGTGAACCTTGTGGTCCCTGTGGGGGGAAAAGGCTCACAGCTTCAGGGACCAGCACGTACAAACACCCTGAGGCAGAAATGTGCTTCATGTGTCTACAGAAGTGCTAAGAGGCCGTAGCCTGGAGGAGAATGGGATTGGAGAAAATGGCATAGACAAATGCAGAAAAGCAGTGGGAAGCCTGGTCACATGGACCTTGGTGGTCATGTGGTAAAGGTTTTAAATGTTTTATCCCAAGTGAGACAGACAGAACCCTTCAAGTGCTTTTGCACAGAGAAATGACATAATCTAGTAACTGAAATTTTGCAAACATCACCTGCAGTACTTCTGGGCAAGAAGACTACAGGGGTCACCAATATAAGCCAAAGGAAGTGGCAAAAGGGACCCGGAAGAGGATGGAAACAGGACCATGAGAAGGGACGGACTGAGGTCTTCCCGGGATTGCTACCTTGACGTTCTGCTCTTTTTCTCTCCTTCAGGCGGTAGTGGGCAGTCCAGCCCGTCTTGACCAACTTCGAAAAGCACCTTTGCTAGCACAGCACATTCATGTGACCGTTTGTATTTCAATAAAAATGAAAACAAATGAACTGTGTCTTTTACATCCTCTAGCGGAGAATAGGATTTCAGTTAAAATGGTGGCTGAATGGAAATGAAGTGGAAGATGTGAGCTGGGTTTTCCAGCTTTATGACTCAGAGAGTGTGTGCACTTCGCTGGGGGAACATAACTGGCTGTGACTTGCCCTCAGCAATAAGGTGATGGGAGGCAGTACCTATCCGGAGACAAGAACTGCAAATTGGTCAGCTCCTCATTTGTATACTTATCAAACCCTGGATCTATAGAATGATCTAGAAGAAGTTTTCTAATTTATTACTTAACCAACATTATAGGTGGAGCTCATTTTTTTTCCTTCAGTAAACTGATTTCAGCAAATTAATCCCATGTATCTTTCTTCCTGCTATACGTTTTTCCTGTTAAGTACTTTTCCCCCAGACTTTGGCACTTTCCACATTTCAGGAAAATTTTATCTGTTAGTAAGCCCTTGGCTATTGTCTAAAATAAGTTGGGGTTTCATCCAAGATGGTGTAAACTCAGCATATTTGTACAGATATGCAAATATAATTAGATAAATCACAGCAAAGTGCAAGGGAGTGTCAGCAGTAGAAGGAGTAATGTCCACTCTTCTGGAAGGATGAATGTTGGTAGAGGAATTTTGGCTGCATGGCCATTGGAACTACTATGTAAGGAGGTGTACCACTTCTGCTATGTCCACAGAGAATGCTGGATAGACATTTTAGTACATAGCTGAATGAAATTAAAAAAAAATAAAAGGATGCTCTAGATGTCAAATATAAACATAATAGTTAAAATTTATCTACATTAATTGTATGTCAGGATTATTGTAAAGATTTTGATTATTATTTTTTTAAGATTTTATTTATTTATTCATGAGAGACAGAGAGAGAGAGGCAGAGGGAGAAGCAGGCTCCCAAGGAGCAGGGAGCCTGATGCGGGACTCGATCCCAGAACCCTGGGATCATGACCTGAGCCGAAGGCAGATGCTTAACCATCTGAGCCACCCAGGCGCCCAAGATTTTGATTATTGAAAGGGATTTTTGTGTAACTAATTTAAGCCTCATAACAGTCCTATAATTACTATCAGCATCCCTGTTTTACAGATAATGTAGAACTTAAATGACCTGTCCAAAGTCACGCAGTTAGCAGGTGAGAGCTCTAGACTTGCTCTGGAATCTGAGTTATTAACCACTGTGTGGTGTTGCCTTTCCAAAGCAAGGAGAGACTAAAATTGTAGGAATTCCTAATTGTAGGGGTTAACTGAATTTTGAATTGCAAGGGTTAACTAACACTACAAAGATTCGTGATGGTTTTATTTCTGGACTTGGCCTGCCCATGTAGACACATAAGTCACATCACAAAGATCCAAAAATACTTATCACAGATGCCTCATTCTCTGACTACTGAGTGGTAATATTAGAAACCCAATAACAGAAAGACTGCCTCACATCTGCATATAGCGCAAAATTGAAATACACACACCCACACACACACACACACACACACACCTTCCAAACATAGAACTATGTGTACATATATGCACATATAAAAAACAGGAAGAAAAACATATGAACTAAACATTCAACTTAAGAAGTCAGAAAAATACTAAACCAATACATAAATAGAAGTAAGCAAATAATATAGAGTAAAAACAAATGAATGAAATCATAATGAAACAGGACGGGGTGGGTCAGTGAAGCAAACACAGGCCCTTTAAAAGAACTAATGAAATCTTAGACACCTAGGGTCCCTGGGTGGCTCAGTTGGTTAAGCAACTGCCTCCGGATCATGGGTCCCGGGATCGAGTCCCACATCGGGCTCCCTGCTGAGTGGGGAGTCTGCTTCTCCCTCTGACCCTCCCCCGTCTCGTGCTCACTGTCTCTCTCTCTCTCTCTCTCTCTCTCTCTCTCAAGCAAATAAATAAATAAATAAATCTTTAGCAATCTAAGACATCCAGCCAAGACAGATTGTGAAAAAACAGAATTAGCACAAAGACAATATTCGAGATAAAAAAGTATGATGAATACAGATAAACATGAATACAGAAAAAAAATAAGGGAATATCATATATAACACAGAGGAAATATGTGGAAAATTTTCTAGAAAAGGTAAATTAATAAACTTAATACATGATAAAATAAAAAACTGAATGGATTCATAAACATTAAGCAAATTAATTTTTCTTTGTCATACCTATCTGCAAAAAAGGCTAGTAGACCCAAATGGTTGTAAAGACATGTCTTATGAAACTTCTAGAAAACTGACAAGCTCTACTTTCAATAAACACTCACATAAAAAAGAGAAGTACACTTCTTAAATTCTTTCACAGGGCTTATACAAAGCTGAAACAAAATTAGAGAAGAGGAAAAGTTGGAAAAATACTGGCTGATTTTTCACAAACACTCATGTAAAGATTCTAAAAAAACATGTTAGCAAATCAAATCTAGCCATATCTGAAATAATATTAATATTTATTAATTAGTATTTAGTGATACTAGCATTTACTCTAAGAATGTGGTTACAGTTTCATAACACTTATTTAGGATAGCTTTCCTCAAAATAACAGATTAAAAAGTAGATGCAATAATTTTAAGAAGTTTGTAAAGGGATTCAATAGTACGGAGAATTCATTTATGATAAAAATAATTAAAACCTTAGAAAAACAGGAAGAAAAGCCATTCCTTAATCTAATGCATATATTTAATAAGAAATATTAACAAAATAGAAATAGAGGAAAAACACTTAATGTGTGAAAATCTATAGTCTTTTTATGCAGAAATATTTGAGTATTACCTTTAAATAACATAAAAGTAAAAAACATTTGTATTCAATTTTGCACTAAAGTTCCAAACCAATAAAGCCAAAAGTAAAATGTATGAAACACAAGAAAAAAAGTCATCATTGTTCTTGAAAAATAATGATTTTATTCACTAAAAATCTCTTCAAATTAATACTATATTCCGTTTTTTTTAATTTTTTTTATTCTTATGTTAATCACCATATATTACATCATTAGTTTTTGATGTAGTGTTCCATGATTCATTGTTTGTTCATAACACCCAGTGCTCCACGCAGAATGTGCCCTCTTTAATACCCATCACCAGGCTAACCCATCCCCCTACCCTCCTCCCCTCTAGAACCCTCAGTTTGTTTTTCAGAGTCCATCATCTCTCCTGGTTCGTCTCCCCCTCTGACTTACTCCCCTTCATTCTTCCTCTCCTGTTATCTTCTTCTTTTTCTTTTTTCTTAAAATCTGTTGCATTATTTGTTTCAGAAGTACAGATCTGTGATTCAAAAGTCTTGCACAATTCAGAGCGCTCACCACAGCACATACCCTCCCCAATGTCTATCACCCAGCCACCCCATCCCTCTCACCCCCCACCACTCCAGTAACACTCAGTTTGTTTCCTGAGATTAAGAATTCCTCATATCACTGAGGTCATATGATACATGTCTTTCTCTGATTGACTTATTTCACTAAGCATAACACCCTCCAGTTCCAACCACGTCATTGCAAATGGCAAGATCTCATTCCTTTTGATGGCTGCATAATATTCCATTGTGTATATATACCACCTCTTCTTTATCCATTCCTCTGTCGATGGACATCTTGGCTCTTTCCACAGTTTGGCTATTGTGGACATTGCTGCTATAAACATCGGGATGCACGTACCTCTTCGAGTCCCTACATTTGTATCTTTGTGGTAAATACCCAGTAGTGCAATTGCTGGATCGAATGGTAGCTCTAATTTCAACTGTTTGAGGAACCTCCATACTGTTTTCCAGAGTGGTTGCACCAGCTTGCATTCCCACCAACAGTGTAGGAGGGTTCCCCTTTCTCCACATCCCCACCAACATCTGTCGTTCCGTGACTTGTTAATTTTAGCCATTCTGACGGGTGTGAGGTGGTATCTCATTGAGGTTTGGATTTGGATTTCCCTGATGCCGAGCGATGTTGAGCATTTTTTCATGTGCCTGTTGGCCATTTGGATGTCTTCTTTGGAGAAATGTCTGTTCATGTCTTCTGCCCATTTCTTGATTGGATTATTTGTTCTTTGGGTGTTGAGTTTGATAAGTTCTTTATAGATTTTGGATACTAGCCCTTTATCTGATATGTC